GCATTTTCATCTCGTGGTACCTGATGGAATTCGATTTGATCGAACTCCCGGATAGCACTCTCTACAGCATCTTTGTATGACTTCATACGTTCCTCCTTGGGATAATAGTGCCCTGTCACTTGATTGATCACAAGCTGTGAGTCACTAAAAACTTTTAAACATCGTACCTGTAGCTGTTTAGCTAGCCGAAGTCCGGCAAGCAACGCCTCATACTCGGCCTCGTTATTAGTAGCTGGGAAATCTAGCAAAATTGACTGCTGCAGCTTGGTACCCTCGGGTGTTGTGATGTCAATCCCGGCCCATGCCCTTTTCTGGTTGAAAGAGCCATCAACCCGTAACTCCAAGTACGGCTCTTGAAGTGTCGGTTCCTCAGATTGATCTTCATACTCTAGTAGGAAATCCGCTACTGACTGCCCCTTGTGAGATACCTTCGGTGCATAGGTGATATCAAAAGAGCTAAGTTCAATAGCCCATTTTGTAATTCGACCAGACAAGTGTGGTTTAGCTAGGATAGCCCGTATAGGGTGATTTGTAAGTACCACTATGCTGTGAGATTCGAAGTAATGTCGAAGTTTCCTCTTACCATAAATTAACGCCAGGATTACCTTTTCCGTCTTGCTGTACCGTGTCTCGGCATCCGTCATCATTTGCTTGTGTAAAAGATTGAGTGCTGAACCTTGCCTCCTTCTTTGATCAACACTGCACTTGTTGCTACAGCTGATACTGCCAAGTACAGGATGAGAGTGTCTCCGGGCGTTGGAGCAGAAAGGATTGGGGGTTTTGTCATGTAGCTTTTCAATTGATTGAGAGCTTCCTGCTGCTGAGGTCCCCACATATCTTTGTTTTTGGATCGAATAGCATCAAAGAAAGGTTTATACTTATCAGATAATCGGGATATGAACCGACTGAGAGCCGCAATTCGGCCGGTTAGAACTTGCACTTCCCTGCGGGTTTTTGACTCTTGGTTCTGTATGAGTGCCTTTGCCTGAGCTGGGCTTACTTCTATTCCTCTTTTATTTACAATGTGCCCGAGGAACTGTCCTGACGAGACGACGAAGGAGCACTTGGTGGGATTCAGCTTCATATTGTACCTCTTGAGAGTATCAAAGACCTCCTGGAGGTGCTTCGGGTGGTCTTCTTTCCGTATACTTTTGACCACTATGTCATCGATATAGGCTTCAACTGTATTCCCCAGTAGATTATTGAAAATTTTATTGACAAGTCGCTGGTAGGTGGCTCCGGCATTCTTTAGACCAAAGGGCATCACTCTGTAGCAGTAAGTGCCCGTCTCTGTGATGAAAGCGGTTTTCTCCTCATCTTCAGGATTCATGGGAATCTGATTATAGCCGGAGTATACATCGAGAAATGTGAGCCTCTCATAACCTGTCGTAGCATCCACCATTTGATCAATCTTGGGCAGAGGGAAGCTATCTTTTGGGCAAGCTTTGTTAAGGTTGGTATACTCTACGCATACCCTCCATTTTCCATTCTTCTTTTGAACGACTACTACATTTGAGAGCCATTGTGGGTATTGCACCTCTCGAATGAATCCTGCTTGTAATAGTTTATTTACTTCCTCGACTATTATGCGATTCCGTTCAGGTGCGAACCGTCGGTGCCTCTGCTTGACTGGCCTGAATTCTGGGTTAACCCTCAAACTATGGCATGAAACCGTAGGATCGATCCCTACCATGTCCGAGTGATCCCAGGCAAAGACATCCGAATTGCACCGAATGACCCTGATCAATGCTTCCTTCTCTTCGGCTGTGCAAGATGAGCCAATGTAGGTGACCTTCTGAGGGTCTCCGAGGACTACCTCTATAGCTTCGAGGGACTCCTCGGTAGGTGCTTCAGCCTCGGCTTCTTCCTCTGCCTTGAGATACTTGGACAGAGGATACTGTAACTGCTATTTGATTGCATCTTTGGGATTCGCCTCTAACTGAGGTGATTTCGACGCCTTCTTTGCTTTATGTAGCGTTAGCATGTAACATTCTTTTACAGCCACCTGGTCTCCCCAGAGGTCGATGACCTCCCTGCCATCTGGGGATAAACACCTCATTATTTGATGAAGGGTAGAGGGGACTCCGTTCATACGATGGATCCAACCTCTCCCCATAATGAGGTCATAAGATGGATGAATCTCCGTCACGACAAAGTTCTCCTTCAGAGTCCTCTTTGCTGCAGTAACGGATAGATCGATCACCCCAAGCGGATTCACCTTAGTACCATCAAATCCCATTAGGGGGCTGGAAGTTGGCCTGATGGACGATGGTGAAACCCCCAACTGATCAAAAGCTGCTTTTGTAATGATGTTGGCGCTACTTCCCGGATTTATCAGCACCCTCCTGATCATATAATTCGCAACTAGGAGGCTAATGACCAAGGGGTCCTCATGCGGGCGCTGGACTCTAGACAGATCATTGTTACCGAATCCAATGTTGATGCTGCCTGGTGCAACCGTGTTTACCGAAGACAATCTTCGTAACTTATGAGCCTCTCTCAGCCTGGATCTGTACAACTCTTCAGACTCTTCATCATCCTCTGACCTTCCGTGTATGGCATGGATAACCTTTACCTGACCGCCCTCTACCCGTCGAGGGTTAACCTCCCGAGGTTTTACGTACTCCTTCGTGGCGAGATACTCCACCAACTCTCCTCTCGCTATCATGCTTTCTACCTGTCGCTGAAGGGACCTGCAATCATTGGTGGTATGCCCATAGTCTCTATAGTAGGCACAATGTTTGCTTTTGTCCCTCTGCTCCAAGGGTTGTTTCATGGGCTAAGGAGTTGCGAACCTCGTCTTATTCTCTTGGAATAGGCGCGCTAAGGTAGTACGGAGAGGGGTAAGCCTGTCCTCTGTCCTTCGCCTCTTCTCAGGCGCTTGGGTGACTTGTGTGGCGGTATGAGGAACCTTCTGCATCCTTGTGCTTGCAGCTTTCTTTCGAGACTTGTTTTCCACTGTGACGAGGGTAGCATGCTGTGCACAGTGGGCTACGTTTTCCTCCAACCGAATGTAGATTTGTGCCCTAGCGTTCAAAGTCTGCATATCCGGGGGGGAATATTTGATCAAGGATGTGTGAAACTTGATTCCCTGGATCATTGCCAACTTAAATGTTTCGATTGCCGTGGCAGGGTGGCAATATGCTATCTTCGAGGCCTCCATGTTAAACCTGGATAAGAAATCTTGCAGAGTTTCTCCCTTCCTTTGCCTTATGGTGAAAAGGCTGGCAATACTTTTCTTCTGCTTCTTATTTCCGCAATACTGGGCTAAGAACATAGTGCACAAGGTCTCATAATCAGGGATAGACTTATGTGGCCTATTCCTGAACCATTCTAACGCTGCTCCGGTTAAACTGGTAGGAAAAACCTTACACATCCACGGATCGTTATAATCGTCCAGTGCCATCTTTTGCGCATAATGATCGAAATGCCGAGAGGGGTCTCCTGCCCCATCGAACTGGGTGAAGGATGGCATAGTGAACTTCTTTGGTCTCTCCACAAGGTACACATCGTCAGTAAAAGGGGTCTTGACCAAGGAGTTCTTGTGCTCTCTAGCCATCTCGGCTGGTGTCTGAACTCTTAATAGCTTCTTTTCGTTGAAAGCATCTTGTACGCGTGCGCCATCTAGAACGCCATTGGACCATACCGTAAGCCTATGGCTGGACTCGGCCTGTTCGTCCTGTGTGCGACACGGGAGATTATCCAAAGCAACCGCCTCGGACCTCGTCCCTTGCTTTTGCTGAACCTCATTAGGTCGAGCCCCGTTGGGTGGTGTCCCGTTGGCCGGAGGCTTGTGAACTGGAGGTAAATTTTGGGTGGGGGGTGGTGCTACAGCATCGCCTGGTGGTGGTTATGGCGTTAGCCTGGCCATTGCCGTGTGCAGCGTATGAGTCTGCTGCTGAAGCGCAACTATCTGGGCGACACTCATATCGTTTGCTTGCCGGAGTGTCTCAAATTGGTGCAAGAACTCCTCTCGCATCTTTTGCATCAATTCTATCTGTTGATTCATTGCTGACTCTCCGTTTGACGTTCCAGATACGACTAAGGATTTGATTTGAAGAACAAGTAGGAGTATATTTTTATACGATTCCCACAGACGGCGCCAAAGTGTAGGTGCAAAATTTCGCTCAACCAATAATGATTAAGAAAAATAAAACAACTCACTCAATCAATAGTAAAAATAAACAAGAACAATATATCTCAAAGCGTAGAATTGCTTGATCCCTTTATTGGAGGTCTAAGCCTCTATTTATATACAAAAGATTGTAAAATTATGGTAGGACTCGCGTTGCTTGCCCTCTAATTCTTTCTATATAAACATTCTTTACTAATAGAGTTCTTTCCGTTGTCTAATTTTCCATACATAGAACTTGCCTTGTACAGAATTTCCTATCTCAGAATTTTCCTTCTACGGTAAATCCTTCAACTGATAGGACTTGTGCATTCTTGAATAACTGGACTGAACATACTTTGATCTGGCTGGGCTTGAGTAACGGACCGGATGTTAAATATTAACAAGTTGAGCCGATGACCTCTTGATTCGGCCTTGATGGAGGCTGGAGGACAAATAACAATGGTCTTGGGCTAAAAATACCCTCAATTTGGGCTTGAGTATGATGGGCCTTATATGTCTTTGGAGTGTAAATATGTGTAGTGATGACGTGTGCGCTTTTTATTAGAAGGAGTTTTTTTCCCTCCACATCTATGGTTGCCAAAAAGACAGTGGGAAAGAAAAGTAAATCAGGAATTGTACAACAATAATTCAAGCTGCAAATAAAAGTAATTTTTTTATCCTACTTCTTCCCCTGGCTCTTCGCTAACAGGACAAATCAATACAAGATTATCTATATATTTTACGAATCAGTTCCATAGTTATTTCTCAATCTAAGAGCATCAAATAAGGTGTACCTAAGAGATCAAATATGAGTTAGGAATTGCAATTTAAAGTGGCATTAAACAACTATCCCAAATCCCATTTGAGGGAGAAAAAATATTCTTACCACCCAGTCTGTCAAGGCTTTTCTGTCAATTTGTCCAGTATCTGGACCTGCCATAAGTGGAAACACAATATCCACCTCCTCCTTCATCATGAATCTACTGAGGTCGATCTCATCAATGTACCTGTGCATAAAGATATGATGTTCAGAGGAAGACTGAAGAGAATGGAGTGAAGAAAAAGCATCAGGACATAGACAATTATCTTTGGAAGGTAGTTTTTCTCACTTGCTACCAGGTTGAGCAACATTCCTGAAAATGTGATAGGCAGCTGCAATGGCTTCCATTTCGTTAGTAATTTCCTTATCTGCCTGTTCACCCTCTCCATCATAAACACTTTCATCGAGTGCATTGGAAATAGTAGACAGCCCTGAAGTCGATATCACATCAACCAACTGCTTCATGGTCCAAGCAGAAACTTTTTCTTGCTTCATCTTATGAAGCTTATTTATATCAATAACCTCCTTCTCCTTCTCCTTCTTCCCATCCTTTCCGTCCTTTGTTCTTCGGAAACTCAAGCGACCAGTGCTGTTTGTCCTCCCTAACATTTCAGCTGACTCCATAACTGGAGGTCCTGAAAGGGTCTGGAGAATATACTGATGGAAAATTGACGTTTGAATCCTATCAAAGAATGTATTGACATGGAAAGATGATGCCAAAACCTTAAGTAGAAAAGTCTTAATAACCCACAAAAATGTACCAATGAGCAAAGAGACGATGGTCCAAGTAACATAATCTAAAATTTTATTGCCAATGTCTGACCGCTCGACACTATGTCTGAACAACAAAACCCAAGTAACAAGAACCAGACACAACCAAATACAGACCTGAACACTCTTCTTCAACCCATGAACGAAATACATCACCTTCTTTTTGAACAAAAAGTTCAGTTCAATCAAGAAAACGAGAACACGGATAAACCATTTAGTAACCAACATGCCAGAAAAGGTCACCATTACAAGCACACACCATTTCCAAATCCGCAAACCCGAAATATTAGTGTGTTGCATTTTGTAGACAGTCAAGCTAGCTACCAAAGTACCCAAAATGCAAAAGAAAAAGACCCATTCAACTAACACCTTCATCTTCACTCTCCTATACTTCAACCTATTTTTAGTACTCACTTTCTTATAGATCTCTTCTTCCTCATCCAGTCCTCGCACACCTCCAGGTGATGCCATCAATGGAGTTTTCGGAGTAACTGATACTGTCCTAAGAGTCTCCTTAAGAGTAGTAGTAGTAGGGGATGCCGATTTGTTATTAGGTGATGCCCGATTAGATAAATTTCTATGAGGTGAAGTTCCACTCCGGTCAAATTGTTCTTGCAGAGATGAACCATTTTCTTCAAACATATTTGAATCAAGAATTACAGATTGTTCACCAAATCTTGACTTGGGTTTGTTGGAATACACTCTCGCGAGCGATTTTCGACGAGTTAGGGTTTCATTGGTGGGGATTTTCGGAGCCTTTTTGGGGCTTGGACTGAACCGAGCAATCTCAGGCGAAGGACAGCTCAGTGGTGCCGCCGATTTCGCGAGTCCCGGACTCGAATCTGCAGATGCCATTTTAGGTGAATCCATAGTATTTCGAGCTTTTGAATCTTCCCCGGATATTTGCACAACCACTTCACCTGCAGTTGTTTTCTTATCGTCCATCGTGCCGTCACAAGAACCTCTTCGGCATAAATCAAAATCCTAGCACATAAAACACAAATCAAATCTGTATTTTCAAGACCTTTAAATCTATTCACAAAATAAAGACCAACATGAACCAGATGACAGCAATAAAATCTGCACTTTCCAAATTTTCCGAGAAAGCCACTTTTCTCGGAAAATAGTCATCGTGGAAAAAATCCTAAAAGGAAACTGATTGTTTACTAAACGGTCTAAACCAGAACCCTTTCTTAACTAGTATTTTACTAAAAGCTGTCCAGTGGTGTATATGCAACACAAACACATTATATATACACATATAGACACACGTAAAGAATATATACTGTTGTACGACTATTTTAGCTCCAAAAAAAAAAATTGAAATCGAAATCTCTGGTAATATTTTGTTTAAAGGAAAGTAGTTTAGCGCCAAAAAGTAAATATTCACATATATGTAAACAAACAGCGACGGAGTTCAAGTTTATTACCGGAAATGGAGTCGCCAGTGACCGTAAAACTAAGGAATCTCAAGGACATGTACGGAAAGCGAAATGGTCAACTGACAGTCACGGTAGGTAGAGTGATATAAATTTAAGTGTTTTGGAGGAAGGAAAAGGTCGATTTCAAAATCAACAACTTCGAGAAATGTTTAGGGCTTAGATCACATATATATACACACAGGAACACGTTCTCGAGAGTGAGGGTGGTAGTGGCCGTAGTGGCTGTGGAGAAACACAGAGAATTGTCAGATATGTATGAATGAAGCACGTGCTTGGTTTTAAAATCGGTGAATGGTGAGAATGAAGACGACAAACAAATTTGATGCTATTATTTTTGGCTGACGAAAAACCATATGCCATGGGCTTCATGCCAAAAATGAACGAGGGGCAATAGTGAAAAGTGATGGTTGAATAAGCGTGGAAATATCGATTTCCAAATAGAGACTAGAGAGTAGTGTGTGAACCACTTGTGTGGACATAAATTTGGGCCCTTTTATTTGGGCTGTGGAAATCTTTTATAATCCGTACTTTTTACTTTAAAAAATATTTCTTTGGGTCCCAATGTCCATAAAAGATGAACTGTTTTGCACATTTTTGTATTGCATTGTTTTCCATTATCAATTCTTTATGGCGTTACGTAAACCATATTCCTCCATTTCATAATACATCTCTGTTTAGAGTATGCTTGATACGATGGTAATATTAATTATTTATTGTGTTTAGTTAATTATGAAAAAAATAAATAATAGTGTTTAGAAAATATAGTAAAAGAAAAATTATTTTAGTAAATTTACAATCATATTTTTTTTCATAAATTTTGCCTTTTTTATTTGAAAGATTAACCATATATAATATTAATTGAAAACGACTAAGAAAGGAAAAAAAAGTTCATTCACTACAAGAGAGTTATATAGAGAAAAGTATTTTATAGAAAGAAGAATTGTCATAAAAAACGATGCTACTATATAGAGGAATAATTGATATATAAAGAAGTGTAATAGGAGATGCGGATAAAATGATAGTTTTGTCTGAAATTAGTTAAGCACGATTTAATATGCTATGTCATTGTCAAATCTAGGAGGACGTTTAATTTCTAGCCATGTTAAAAGTCAATTTTTTAATCAGTGTGTACTATCCTCAAGTTTATCATTTTCCCTTAAATATATACTAGTCGTTTTTTTCATTCCTCATTTTTAGGGGAGAATAAAAATTATTATTCATGTATTGTGTCTCTCCAAATCCTTCATTTTCTTTCCAATGTTTCAATTCAAACACAATTTATCATCTGTCTCCGTCCATTACCAATCTTTTCCTTTTCTTCCAATTTCATTATACCTAACAGGCCTTTGAAGATTTTAACTAACAGACATGCATGCATTTTATTTTTTTTGAAACTTTAAAAAAAAAAATTCCAAGATTTATATAATTTGTTTAGATGAATTGTCAAAACCTAGGGATGGTAAAATATGCTCCGTTGGTTGTAAAATATGCCTAGAATGCACCCGCGGAACGAATTCATGCCCTAGGGTGGCAAATGTCCCCTCCGCTTACATGAAAAAAATTATAGTATGCCTCCCTAAAATTTTTAATTACTAAAATTATCTCTTATTTCATTTTATTTTTTCCTCCTTTTACTCTTTATATTCCTTTAATTTCCTGTTTTTTTTTTAAAAGTCACATACCTATTTTCCTTTCATCAATCAAATCCTAATTTTTTTTTCCCTTCAAAGGTCTCTCATTTTTCTTTCTGTTTTTGCACTTATATAGTCATATATAATTTATGCAACCTTTTTTTTTTCTCTTCTTAATTACATTTATTGTAATACTTTTATGAAGTCAAATGTGTTTAATTTCATGGAAGAGTCTTGCTATTTGCTCCGCCAAATACAAACATACTACCTTATTAAGTTTATGTGGCTATTATATGTAATTCATTTAAAAATAGAAAGTAAATAACTATTTGGAAAGTAACTCACCTTTTTAGGTTCTTTCTTAATTTAGTATATTTGTTGTCTATTAAAGTTTCAATCACTATGTATATCAAATTATATATTTGTTTTATATATACATCATATTTGAGATATTATTGCATTTCTATATATAATTAGGTTGTGTATCCCTTCATAGATTGTGTCTTTGATCATTAATATCCATCTATTACTTTGATAGGCATTTGTTAATTGTTATAATCTATTTGATACCAAAAACAAAACAAAAATAAGAAGATAAATTTTCTAAAAAATATTGCAAATCATTGAAAAATTATAAAACATTGCAATTTTTGTTTTAAATTTTATACAAATCAAATTATTATATTTGAGTACCTATTTAAGTTGAAATTTTAGAATAACTACGTTATATTTTTATATATGTCCGTTTTAAGTTCGTACTAAAGCAGTCAATAATATCATTTTCTTTGAAGGTCTGTTTGAGAGAGAGGGGTGAGAGTTTAAGAGAGAGAGAGAGAGAGGAGTAGTGAAGGGTATTTTTGTAATTTTAAAAAATAATTTTCAGTTTTTAATTTAATATTAAATGATAAGGTTAAATTTGACATTTCACAGTCCAATTATATGGATATTGGGACAATATGAACACTTTTTAAAAGTGTTCATATTTTTTAGAACAGATTGGAATTTTAAAAGTGTTCATATTTTTTAAAACAGATTAGAATTTTATGATCAAAAAATAAATGTAGTAGGAGTTCTATGATTTAAGCCCATTTTTTTATTTGTTTCACTCTGCCATCGGCATATAATGAAAAAGTAAATAAAATTTCCACAAAAAGGAGGATGTCCGGAAAATTATAGCAACTTCCAGCAAGATGCTAAAGAAAATATGAAGACAAGAGGCTTACAGAAGTTCAGTAGTGTACTCTTCAACAAAATGGGAATTTGGCTGGGGAGGACAAAAAGAGTCTCTCAAGATCCTAATGTCCGATACAGTTCAAGACAAATCTATAATATTACCCAACTGGTGGGGAGGCTCCCTTCATGGGATTAGTCGGAACAAAGCCGGAGTTAATTATTAAATAAAATAATAATAATGATAATAATAATAATAAAAACCAAACCTGAATATCTTAATGCCAGTTAGAGTATAAGGCGAATCTATAATAGAGAAGGCATTATTGCAACTCTCTAGTCTCTCCCTCCCTGAACATATATGCATAAGAGCGCAGGCTTGACTGCAACTCTCTCTCTCTCTCTCTCTCTCTCTCTCTCTCTCTCTCTCTCTCTCCCGGAATCTGAACAGTAATTTTCGTGTAAAGTAGCGGCCTCCAAATGCATTAAGCAACAAAAATGATCAGGAAGTATCTGGGCCAGACCCCATTCTGGTGAGTGTGCGCAAATGAATTTTTCACTTAAATAACATTAATTTCACTCACAAGAATATAGTCAGATTGTATAAGCAGTTAACACTGAGCTATCTAATTGCACCATTACGACAAGCACCCAGGCAATGCATGTATATTAGGTAAAATTATCAAATTATATCATACAAATTGGAAGTCAAAACAAAATGAACATCTCGATGGAAATCTTGACTGCATAATTGATAACAATGAAAATATCTATTAGAAAACAAGGCGGTTTTTTTTCCCTCTACCAGGTTAACAGACAGCTCCAGCGCCATCCTTGAGGCAACCACTCACTTTCCTTCAACAGAGAAAGATCCTCATGACTTCATCATAGCACCTACCGTCAAAAACCATATTAGACAAATTAGTGAAATTTTGTAGAACCCAACTCTATTAAAATAGTAATATTTTTGTTTCTCTTTCATTGTAAATTCCATTACATATTAAACCTTTGAGTTATATAAGATCTTGAAGGTTGCACACAAACCCAAATACATCCATTGGATCCTGCTCGAAACTTTTTAAGATTTGACTCCCATTGTATTACTAAGACCAAGTATACCTGGATGTTGCTGAATGCAGTTAGGTTACAAATGATCAAATCAAATCCATATAGCATCCAGGTATATTGGTGTGGTATCTTTATACTTCCCAAGAGAGTACTCACTAACATTGGAGAAGTGTTCATAGCCTATTTCTGGACTGGTCCAGGCCTTAAAAACTTACTGGAGCAGAAGACCACCAGAGAGCAGTTTGTACAACTAAGAAAGGACCAAGGAGGATCTTGGCAAGTTGGCAATGAAAGACTATAGGTCTGAAATAGGTGTACCATGCCAAGGCGTTAGTGGGCTATTAGCAAGACAGAATCTTAATTGATAAAAGACAGAATTTCATGGAGTATCCCTGTCCTATTGGATTGCTCATGCACAAGAAGGAATATATCTTAAAGTTGAGACCTATTGCTCAAAGCTTTACTGAAATCGAGATGGGTATGGTAACAATACCTTTCTTTGGTATACTCTCGTATCAAGCTGGCCTAATCATAGACAGATGAAGGGCCCGGATTGATGCATCTCTGGTCTAATACGGACAAGGTTAATGTTTAACACAACGCATTTGAAATCAGAGCGTGTGTACGAATTTTGGGGCTTACCAAAATTTTTTTTTGCATACTGATTGTTAATCGAGTGTTGAATTTTAACGACTGCATCATTGCAAAGGAACTGGGATAATTATTTTGAACAAAGCATGGTGTGTTAATTATTCCCGTTTGGTTTGTATGGGGTGTTGTACGCTACTCTTGATTTATGTACAATTCAGTGACTAGGTCGGATTGGTGAGTACATTCACCTGTCCACGCAGCTTCCGACGCAGACATGCCTACCAAATTTCCCAACCAAAAGAAAGTCAGGTACATAAAATTCTATGTCAGACAGGTTATTTCATCATGTTATATGAGTGAGGAAGAAAGAGCACGTACAAGCAATCAAAGTGATGAATTGAACCTCCGGCAATAATCATCTGGTGGAGCCAGCTGGGGTTGATGACTCAACAAGATGAACTTCCTGAGGCAGGAGATTATATTTGATACCCAGCTCTTCGAAGATTTTCTTCAACTCTAAGACGAATTCAGATCTTCGATTGTTCTTCTCCCCATATTCTTGAAAGTTCATTGTATGATTAAAAAATATGACCATCTTTATCTTGTTCACATTCTCAATCTCCTTAACCACCACACTGTGGTTAGGATGCCAGTGTTGCGGATTTTTCTCCAAATACCTGACGATATAAAAGAATGAAAAAACCACGAGACTAACAGTAGCAAATACACCAATCTAGAGGGTAATTAATCAAAGTAAGCTGAGAATTTCTACATAAGTCCCATGGACGATATGAACAGGAGTCAATGCAATAGAAATTTTCAACAAAACTCACATGGACATTCGAACTCAACTCAATGCAATTGATAAAAGCCTTGGTCTAACAGATTCAAATACATTTTTACACTCTGTTCAGTTTGG